TTGTGGGGTTCCAGTGCTCAGGGTGAGTGGTGTTGATGTTTTATTGCCTATCCGCACCACCTGTGGTCTCTCGATAAGAAAGTCCAGCAGCCAGTTGCAGACAGAGTTGCACAGACCTAATCCCCTGAGCTTTGTCACCAGTTGACAGGGTATGATGGAATTAAATGCTGAACTGTAGGGTTACAGGCTGTGATTCTATTCATCATCATTAATTGGCAACATCATCCACAAAGCTGGTAATAGTGGTCTACACAATCACTAGTGTACAGTGTGAAAAGCAGTGGGGACAGCACACAGCCTTGGGATACCACTGTGCTGGTGCTGATGGTGAGAGTCTTCCCCAAGCTCACTCACGAATACTGTCACCGACCAGGAAGAAGACTGTATATCTACTGAGTAATTGTGTCATGTTCTCCCACATCCAAAATCTTCCCTACCAACCTGTTTGCTTGCATACTGTTAAAAGCAGATGAAAAGCCAGCAAGAAGTACACACACATAGGATGATAGAGTTTCTAAATGCTTGTACTCTTGATTTAACAAGGCAACAGTGTTCTTCCACTCCTTGTTTCGCTCTGTAACACAAACTGATAAGGGTGCACTGGTTGCCAAATGAAGATGAAACAAAACTTTTTGTTCCTACCTGCATTGTGGCAGCTGTGTCCTCTAACAAGCTCAGTGTGCAGGATCTCTCCTTCCCAGAAGAAGAAGCCTTCAGGTCTGAAATAATCCACAATGCACACACTCTCGATTAAAACTGGAGAGAGTTCCTTCATCAACATGCCTCCACACACAACATTTGAAACTGATTAGTTTCCACCACCCACAGCAGTCTGAATAAATACCATACAATACACATGACAAACTTATATACATCTACATACCCACAAACACAACATTTTTTATACTGTAGGTGGATTCTGTTGTCAAACATGATACTTATAATAAGAGCTCAGGTTTAACTCATTTGTGGTTATTATAATGCTAAGAGTATTTATGAAGACGTAAAAATGATTCAGAGGTTAGAAGGTTGCCTTGTACTTAATTTAAACAAAACACATCTATCTGTAAAGTTACCAGTTTCTTTTCAGGAATTTAAAACATATCCTCCTTCACAGACCTGTGTATGAAGATTGTCATCTAGTGTTGTCACTGGCTACCTAGAAATCAATATAATTGGCTGCTCAGTTCCTTACATCTGGCCAATTGAATTTGAATAGATGCCTCCTCTTAATAACCAATAGAAACAGCTCCTCAGTATATGAACAACTGACCAATAGGAAATACAGGTACTCCAGCTCCCAGCTAACACTAGAGCTCATCTCTGGCTCCTACCCCTCTTTGAAATACCAAGACACAAAGCAATGTGCATGAAACACCCTGAACATCTACATTCAGCATCACTGACCAGGAGTTCTGCAAAGGCACTTTACTCCACAGCTTCAGCTCACCCCAACATAGCTCTCCCATGAGCTGGCACACGCATCCTTTACACAAGATCCCAGCACATGTAGCTCTCCCTACTGGACAGCATCACCTACTGCATTTCCAAGCCACAGCAGGGCTTCCCAATTCCTACAGGTGATCAGATTGCTTCAGGAACAGTTCTGGTTGGATTTTCCACTTCTCACCAAACAAATCCCAGTATTCCAGAGCCACAGGAGCATGGGCAAACATCACACTGAATACTTCTCATGTTCCTCTCCAATTCAAAGCACAATCTGAATGCTTTCCTCCCAAACTTCTCTTTTATAAGCCTTTTCATTAATTGCAGGGGCTTGGCTAATTCCATGGGAACCTATCCCAAAAGCTCTAAAATCCTCATGTGGAATGGCCAGGTGTGTCCAGCTCAATAACGCACACCAGCTTCCAGATTCCTGCCTGCTCAGAAGCCATCTTGGCTCAGAGAAACACCTCAGCCAGGGCTTGAGCCAAAATGACAGGTTCCTACAGAAGCCTTCTAGGGACACTACAACATTGCTTTAATCAATTTTCTTTGCACATTATTAGAAGTGTGTTCTTTCTAAACATTTCAGCACAGCTCAATCTATTTCAGGAATTGATTTAAGAAATAAATTAAGAGAGAAAGGTAGTGATTTGGTTATGGATTATATATATTCCTTAAACAGATTTGTGATTTTAAGGTTGACACTAATTTCTAACCTTTTACTATTGATGATCTGAATCTCTGGAAATGAGTAAAGTACTTTGGATTCAACTGAACTGAAAATAAATCGTACATGTTCAATTAAAGTTTACAATAATAATACTTCTTCAATACTTCCATACAAAGATATGGATAATGACGTTTTATTTAAAAACTAAGATATATATTCAATTATTTTATGTGAAAATAAAAATATTTGCAAATATTAGCAAGGTCTGAAACACTAAGAGTTTCTAATGTTGTTTTGCTGAGGTGTTATAAACTACTTGGGTCAATTCTGTACATAGTGCCCCTATAAAAAATTCCTGGTTGTACTTTTTTTATAAAAAAAAACAGGTCGAATCTTTCAACGTCCCTTGATTTCCTTTGAAAACTGACACAATAAGAAACGGATTTCTTCTTTCGATTTTAAAAGTACTGACATAGCTACAAGTATTAGAACATGCAACTCTTTGCTATTATTAGCTTTTTAAGGCTAAACCCACAACTCTTGTGATTACAGTACGATATTGGAGCCAAATTTAATTTTCCTGTTCACACCAACACACAGGGAACACTGGTACTTCATGCAGAATCAAACGCAACCCCAGTGCAAACAGAAACAAAATTGTGGACATGCTTATCTTTGCAGGGTCACATAATTACCTGAAAAAGAAGGTGCTATATCTCAGGAACAAAAGCACTAAAATAAAATAAAGTTAATGAAAAACCCTGGTTTTGAAACATGGGCAAGCCATTGTTCAAGGAATTCATCAAGACATAATTCCTTCTTCATTATCACAACCCATAAATCGATTGTGAAGATGTCCAGGCAATATTATCTTGCTGGACTTAATTGCTTATTTCTCTGCAGCCATGTATGTTACCACCTTGCAGATCTCATCAGATTTCAGCAGCTCAGCACGGGCCTAATCAGGAACGGGATGTCCGGAGATCCAGGCTGTGCTAGTGAATCAGTGTGTGGCACTCCTTGCAACCTGACTTCACAATCAGAGCTCCAGCGAGGTGACAGGGGACACTGCAGGAGGTGAGGTCCTTTGGGTAAGGTGCTTAACTGAGGTTATTGAAGATCCCACCCCACCATTTGCTGGATTAGGGGTGTTAACCCTGGCTAAATTTCACATTTGGCTTGCACGATCTGGAAACTCACTTGGAGCTTGCCAAGAACATCCAAGAGCAGCCATTTCAACTGCTAAGCAAATGCCTACCAAAAAAATCAAACCCCTTTGTTTGGTGGGATTTATCACACTGTAAAATACTGAAAAAATCAAAGAGGCAGTGTGCGAGACATGATTTTGTTTCAGCGGGTAGGTGTTCTTGACTCTAAACAACCCAGATGCTCATTGTTCACCATTCAGTCTGAGGGTGGACAGGACGCCATACGGTTTGCAGACTGTCACTCTTTGCCTGCACAAGGAGAGCACACTCATGAAACATCTGTAGGGCACGCGGTAGAAACGTCAGGTAGTATTCCATGTCACACGCTGTTCCTTTGCCATCCTCGATACTTTCACAGCACATCTCGGAAACAAAAGCAGCTTTCAACTTTCAAGGGCACAACCCAGCACCAGGGAATGTGGTGGGCTTCATCGTTTTACGAGGCTCAGGGCATTCAGTAGAGCAATCGGAGTAAATTTCCTTGCTCAACAGCACAACAGCACACCCAGGAGCTGAACTCTTCCTTTCTCACTACTCCACACTGCAGCCATACACAGCATATATCATATACGGTATATCACTGATTTCATTTATTTAGATCATCTTTTACCTTAACTGTATTTAGTAGCTGACATTTAATACAAACGCAGCTTGTCTGAAAAATAAATTACGCATGCTTTGAATGTTATATGGAATATAGATATGGAAATATAATATTACAGCAGAACACAGCATAAGAAATATAAATATAAGAAATATCTGTGCATATATATACACATATACCAACTAACTGTATTCTAGCTCTTTACGACTGTACAGTGTTAAAAATGCGATGAATTATTCTCCAGACTTCATCAGGAAATGTAAGGGGAGCCTAGCCATTGTTAAAATAGTAGAATCAACCTTCCCCACAAGGTGGCAGCACTGCACTTCCATGCTTCCTCAAATCGCAGCCTCTAAGTAAATATTCCTAACCAGTCCCCCATTTTAATACAGGTAATTGCAGAATACAAATCTGTGACAAATGCAGTTATTTTTTTAATAGCCTGAGAAATACGAAGTATAAAACTGCAGTTTATAGTTATGCAGGCATTGTTATCTTTCAGATTTCATGCATGCTAAAAAAGGTGACATTCATGATAGAATGTGAGCTGACAGCATTAAAAAAACAGCTAGTTTTTATACATTTAACTCCAAAGTAAAACCTTTACATCTTTAAAAATATGCAGACTACTAATGTCTAGAGGTCTTATTAATAAATCTTCTGAGAGAGTTTTATGTCCACAAGAGATAAGGCAGTAAATCAAGTACTCATATTTATACTAAACATACCTCTACATTTATGCTGGTAATCTGATATCATCCCATGCTTAATAGAGAGAGAGCTAAAACCACCTGAATCATATAAGAGGTGCAATTATTTATAGTTCTTTTTGTTCTGAGATGGAATGAATCTACGGATTAAGTGGGAAAGGCATGCACATTAGTAAACTGTATCACTTAGCTTTCCCTTTTTAATTGCATATTCATAGGAGGTGGGGTGGAGGATTAGAGTTCTTCTGAACTCAAGAAATTCATTTAAGCTTATAAATAAGTCAGTCAAGACCTGCAGTTCCTGTCTTAATGCAGCAGTTGAGGTTAGGTGTAAGCAAGATGCCGGGGATTACAAAAGGTCTTGCACTGTATGTAATTGATATTATAAAAAATAAGAAAAGTTTATTTATTGTTTCGCATTAATTGTTCACAGAAATGGGTCCATTCATTGCCTTATTCTGAAAACAGTGTCTGTAGATATACAGGCAACGTGTGAAGAACATCAGAAACTACCGCAGTGTTGGGAGTTCATTATCAGATTTCATCTTTTGTATGTTAAGGCTTATATTTGTGCTCTGTTGGAATTAATGACCTAAAGCACTGACATTTGCATAGTTTTGTCTAGGCTCTATGGATGTCGTGAATCCAAGAACGATCTGATTAAACAGAAGCCGCAGTTTATGATGAGAAAGCTGAATCTGTTCTGGTTCTAGCCACGTTCTGAAAAATCTATAAACGTGACAAAAAAAGTTGCATTTGGAGCTGACAGCACATGATTTTTCTGTCTGGTATTTCTCTTCTCAGTGCTGTTTACATGATGTGATGTGTGTTTTCCCGAGTAGATGTACATGGTTTCCAGGACAATCCAGGAGGGTGCTGCACTTCACGGATGAAGGGAGACTCCACCTACTGTACATGTGAAGTGCTTTTGGAACCTTTGGGATGAAAAGTGCGAAGCTAATTCAAGCAGCCTTGCAAACTTCAAAAGCTGTATTCTTTCCTTGAAACTGTATTACAAATGCCTACAGAGACAAAAATCCCTCAGGCACATTTACCTAAACACATCACAAAATATTAATATAAACAAATAAAAAATCCTGAATTTTAAGGGATATAAAGAATAAGCATGTTACTCAAATGTTGGTTAGACTTTAAAATAAGAGCCCCAGATTCTTTATGGCTGCTGAATGAATATAAAAGTTAGAAATCTCAGGGACGTCTGATTTCAGAACCATGGTGCTTAAGAATAATGGTGATCAGAATATGATCACGAACAGCCTGCAATTCATATTGTTGACTGACTATTTCAAAGACTGAATGAAAGACTAGTTTCCTGCTCCCTGTTTTTTGTGTTTGTTCTATATTGAAATACAAATTATGTAATTAATCTATATGTATCTGTATATTAAAGCTATATTTAGCTATAAATCTGATTTGATTTTTGTGTTAAAAAGTGTGAGACATGCACCTAATTTTGAATGTTTTGAGAAAATCTAAGTAAATCCTGAAGTCAAGGACAACTACATCTTCCATAGCTGTTGCTTTCGTTCATGTCAAAAACGTGAAGATCAAAGGGTAATAATGAGATCATGCAATCTGCCTCCATCGCACACTGTGCTGTGAGAATCTGTTAACAAACTGAACTAGTTGTATCTGGATCTTGACTACATTGGTATCACAACAGAGCAATTCCAGAGCAGGAATTGTGACCTGTCGATTGGGCAAGTCATCAGAACCAATCAGCTCAGCTGCATGTCTTTGGTAGCCAGAAAGAAGCCCATGCAAACACAAGAGAGACTGTGCAAACTCGGCACAAAAGGCACTGCAACGCCAAATCAAGCGCTGTGCCCGAGAGCACAAGCTATGATACCGTTGGGCTGCCTTAGTTGTATCTGGAAAACTGTGTGCTTTATATAGTTACATTAGCGCTGTGAACTATGCAAAACAGACTTACTGAAGTCTCCTGTTCAGTTCTGGGGATTTGTTTTGTAGTGTAGACTGGGCCATCGTTTGACCACAAATATTTCCCCACCTCTCGTTAGGAAGCCTGTTTAGCTAAATGGTGTTCCGCGCTAGTTCTGAAATGTAGATTATCAGAGCACTGTATCTGTCTCAATCACTTAAAAATGCAACAATGTAAGGTAATGCTGTTACAAAAATCCTGGAGAAAGCAATAATGAAGATTATCAACTGAGATTTCTTCCCTGTGAAGAAACACCTGGTTAGAATTTTT